AGTGTCCAGTCAGTGTGTCTGTACTGTATTAACCCCTCTCTCAGTGCAGTGTTAATGCTCTGTAGTGCAGTGTCCAGTCAATGTGTGTATTAACCTCTCTTTCTCTCTCAGGTCATATCAAGCTGACAGATTTTGGTCTCTGTAAAGAGTCGATCCACGAAGGCAGTGTCACTCACACTTTCTGTGGAACCATAGAGTACATGTGAGTCTCTGTGTCTCTCCACGTGTAGTTTAGGGACTCTGATTGTTTCTTCTGTCTAGCTATTCACGTACCTTGCCTTTGTTTCCTTTCCTTTCTGTGTTCCCTTACCCAAATATAAGAACATAAGACGAAAGAGAAGACGCATATCATACCATCTACCCATCTGGTGGTTCGTGTTTAATTGATCTGAAGTCTCATCCAGCTATTTCTTGACAGAAGCCAGGGTTAAAACACAAGGGTCTGAATGCTGTAACGTCTATTAATAACAGTCATCTTTGAATGTTTTTATGTCTCCTGATCTGTGCCTTCATAAATCTTTACTCCCAAGATATGAAACTATCTGTCCTAGAATGTTCCTTTTCTACTGTTTCTCCACACTTTCTAGGAGATATAAATAATGTTGACAGACACCCAAGACATTTTAATAAGTAGCTCCGTATTGCTTCCAGCTCAGCATGTTAATGTTTTTAATCATCTGCCAGGTGTTTGTACAGTCTCAAAGTATTTCTGATTTGCTTTGAATTTCCTGTGCATCATCTACAGCTTTTGGTATTCTTCCTAATTTGGGATAATCTGTAAATCTGACAAGTTTATTAACTTTTTCAGAATCTTGTCCATTGATATAAATTTAGAAGCACAGTGATTCTTCTTTACATATGGATCCCTGCAGAACTCCACTAATCACAATATAGATAAAAGTAAGGATAGCCGCTGTCCAAGTACAGACGACAGCAGTACTCCATTAATCACATTTTTATATAATTAAGAAAAGTGGTGGTCCTAGTATAGAGCCCTGTGGTACTCCACTAATTACAGTACATCACCCTGATTGGTGCATCCACCCAATCTAACATCTGTCAGCTCTGTGCTTCAATTGTCTCTCCCTCCTGCGCCCGTGTCTCACCTGTACGCCTGTGTTCCAGGGCTCCGGAGATCCTGATGCGCTCGGGACACAACCGCGCGGTGGACTGGTGGAGCCTGGGAGCCCTGATGTATGACATGCTGACGGGCTCGGTGAGACGGGGCTGGGGGTCTGTGCAGCTGTGTGGAGCCTCTGTGGTGACTTTGCTGGTCTTGTAACATTGTGGTTGTTGTCATCTCTTGTGCCCCGCAGCCCCCTTTCACAGCGGAGAACAGGAAGAAGACCATCGACAAGATTCTGAAGTGTAAACTGAGCCTGCCGCCCTACCTCACTGTGGATGCCAGGGAGCTGCTGAAGAAGGTGCAGCCTACTGTGACTGAACACTGCTTTACTCCACACCAGGCTGTGACTGAACACTGCTTTACTCCATACTGGGCTGGGGACCTGTACACCAGCTGTGACTGAACACTGCTTTACTCCACACTGAGCTAGGGACCTGCACACCAACTGACTGAACACTGCTTTACTCCACACTGGACTTTGACTGAACACTGCTTTACCCCACACTAGGCTGGGGACCTGCTTGCTGACTATGAACTGTCACACCGCAGTGCAGTCAACACTTACTCAATACTGGACTCTGCTAATGTGCAATGACTGTTACTGAAGCCCGACCATCACCATGTGCTAACTGTGCAACAGATCACTGACTCACTAGTCTCATTTTTGTGGAGCACTGAAATCTTACATTCTCTTTTGGTCTCTCCAGCTTTTGAAAAAAAGTCCCGTTCAGAGGCTTGGGTCCAGTAAGGCAGACTGTGGGGATATACAGGTAACTTATACTGGCAACCCACTGGAGCTCAGGAGGTCTGAGCCTGGTCAGTACCTGGATGGGAGACCTCCTGGGAAGAACTAAGGTTGCTGCTGGAAGAGGTGTTAGTGGGGCCAGCAGGGGGCGCTCACCCTGTGGTCTGTGTGGGTCTTGATGCCCCATGAACTGATGGGGACACTATACTGTAAACAGGCGCCGTCCTTCGGATGAGATGTAAAATCGAGGACCTGAGGTCTCCAAGGTCATTCAAAAATCCCAAGGCATTTCTCAAAAAGAGTAGGGGTGTAACCCCGGTGTCCTGGCCAGATTTCCCCCGGCCTTTACCAATCATGGCCTCCTAATAATCCCCATCTCTGCACTGGCTTCATTACTCTCCTCCCCACTGATAGCTGGTGTGTGGTGGGTGTACTGGCACACTATGGCTGATGTTGCATCATCCAAGTGGGGGCGATGTACTGGTGGGTGGTGGTGGATATCTGTAAAGCACCTTAAGTGGAGTGTGCAGAAAAGCACTTATACAAGTATAAAGATAATTATAAGGATTATAAGGATATGTTACACGGCATTCTGTACAGAAAGCTGCACGCTCTGGAGAGCTGCAAAATTTTTCATTTAATCAGATCTGATATTTTCTTTTATCTATAGAATGTCCACACTTATGAGGCAAATTCTAAAACCATAATAAAAGTTACAAAGAAGAGGAGGCGCAGTTGTCTGTTTGGTGATTTAGTAGTTAATTTTTATGAAAATATGAGTAATATTTATTGGTAATATAGTGACTTAAACTGTGCAGTATTCTCTGTTTGAATATCACTATAGAGGCACATTTTCTCCTTCTTTATTATGTGATTCTGCATTACAGAACCTTGTGTGTTCTGAGATCTTCCTTTAACCATCTTAATCATGCCTGCCTGTGCTGGGGTGATTTCTGAGATGTGCAGTTTTCATTTGTTCCGTTCAGAAACACCCCTTCTTCCGACACATCAACTGGGATGACCTACTGAACAGGAAAGTGGAGCCACCATACAAACCCTGCCTGGTACTGTGTACACCTGTGAGCTTGTCCATGTGTCTGTCTATTCATTTCTCTCAGTGCAGTGTTAATGTACTGTAGTGTCCAGTCAGTGTGTCTGTACTGTATTAACCCCTCTCTCTCAGTGCAGTGTTAATGTACTG